GATCAAGCACGAGTGAAACAGAGGTTCTAAAAATCCATATGTACACCCTCTCTTCCCTACACACAAATACAGAAGCAAAAAAAGAGAAAAGACTAAACATAAATTGAACCACTACTCAGACTTTTAAAACAAAACTAACTGCTCCCTGCAAGTTTTCTTTCATATTGCTCTCCCTGGAAGCACAGAGTTTGTTGCAAAATGCCTTTTAAGGTTTGTTTTTCATGTTTGAATTCACACAAAATTTTAAACTCTCAATAAGAATGAGGGAAGAAATATAAATAGATCTGAATAGAAATAAATAGATCTGAAACTGAAATAGTTTTTGATCCTTTGAACTACTGTGAAGCTTGCAATATATATAAACTAGCATTGGTTACTAGAAATTATTTTGAATTAAAATATTCCAATTCCACTTTGCAATAATTCCAGGATATTCAAAACACTTTTAATAAAAAAATTGGGAGATTTTCCAAAAGTGATTCTCTCAAGCAGTTCTAAAAATTACTATTAGCATATTTTTCATGAGAAAATAAATTGGTGGAAGAGAAATCACTGGTGCTCACTGAAAAATTTAGAATACAATCCAAATCAGTTAAATAGTACTACTTTGGGAAATTCCCCAAAGGCACTGCAACAGGTCTAATTTCTTCAGTATTGTTACCCCAGAATTAGAAAGTAAAGCTATATATATGAAGATAAAGGAATATATATGAACCAAATTGCATATAAATTTGGAAGAGTGACAGAGTGACATGATTATCTGTCTCGTGTAACCTTGGGAGGCCAATGCTGTGCAGGAACTGGTGATTTCCAGAGGAAAACCATCAGTGCATTAGGGCTTAGAAAACCTGCTCAGGCTTTCCGTAGCTTTGTGGTTTGAGGGTTTTTTGTGGGTTTTTTTTTGACACACTACCATACTTGCACTCCAATTTAAGTCTTATTATGTTTCATGGATCTATTTGTGCCACGGAATTCTAGATAGGTGAAGGGAATATCAACCACAATACAATTTGCATGAATCACAGTGATCAACTCAAATATCTGAACTCTCTGAAGATACACTGTAATGGAATATGGTCAAAACTCACAAAATGCTATTGCAGCTACCAAGTCAGCATCTGAAGACTGTTTTCAGAAATTACCAAAAATTTTGGATTAAAAACATACATAACCTTGCATCAACTTGCAATAAATCAATGCCTCATCCTTGTTTAAACTCAGCAGTGAGAAGGAAAGTGGAGGGAGGGTCTTTTAAGAGCTGTTCTGACTTACTTATTTTTTTTCCTCATACTGCCCCAAAGTTCTCCATCTGAAAAATAACCTGGGATGTTTTGCAGCAACTTTCCTCTCTACTATCTCAATGCAGCTAGTGCTCTGAGCAGCCACTGACAGACAATGCTCGTGCCATCTCACCCTGCTGATGCCTACACACATGACTTAGGTGAGCCACCTGGGACTGAATTTCCTTGGGTATTGAGGCACTTACGATACCAAGAGGCTCTTAGGCGTATTTTCTGAAATGCCAAGGTGTCCAGCTGCCATTCAGGATGATGTAGGTTATGCCATTTCTGGCACAGGCTCTCTGATTGCCCCTTTGGTGCCTAAATACCTTGGAACATCTGTCATAGATCTTTGGCTTCCCAATTTCCTTCACTTCCGCAGTGGTGGCTATAATGCTTACAACAGCAGACCTCAGAGAATTAAGTGAAAATTGTTGCCAAAGTACTATGTTTAGTAACATGTTAAGCAGAAGAAGGTTTAAAAGATCAATAGCAAAATTAAGGAGAACATCTATCATTATCAAGCTGAACAAAATTTTGGAATAAAGGGGAACAGACTTTAAGAGGGCATTATCAAAACTTCTAGAATCGGGAAAAAAAAAGTGGTTTCCCTTAAAACAGCCTCAGAACATCAACACTACAATCCTTTCTTCAAGAGTACATGTGTTATTGTAAGGTATCAGCCGACAGCACTGAATTCCTGGCACAAAGCAAAACAAAGGATGCTATTCCTGCTTGATGGTCACTACTTCAGTTTGGACATACAAGGACCAGAACTGTAAAGAACTAATGCTTTTCTTCATCCATGGCTTTTCTTTTCTAGTGTCCAATGTGGACAGCTCCAAGTCTCCTCCCCCAGACAGAGCTTCTCATGAAGGAGACTAATTTGAGGAAAAAAGAGATGCAGTAATTCTTTCAGGCCCCATTTCAGCAAGGCACTTAAGCACATGCTGATGTCCATCACTGCTGAGCAAAGGACAAAAGCACACGCTAGTTAAATTTTGGTAAGCATCCTACAGTCTCCATGATATGTTTGATCAAGCTCTGGTGCTTAGCAGAATCAGGGAATAAAGCTGATTATGCAACTCCTGTGTTGTGAGTCCATTCAGCACCTTGTCTGGTGACTGCTTCTCCACCCTGCACTCATGAACCCAAACAGGACTGAATTATGCCATGGGACTAAGAGCACAGATTTGCCTTCAAGAGATGAAACATGGGAGGTCTGCAAGTCTCCTTTATCTGCTATAAATGTATTCTCTGCTATTGCCTATGCCACGTCTCCATAATATCCCTGGCAATGAAATGGGATTGCTCCAAGTTTCTACAGTCTACACTGGTGATATTTTTGCAGTTTTGCCTCGATGAGACTTAGTTTTGTTTAAGTAACACACCCAAATGGTGCACACTGAGGAATGTAAAGTAGATACTAGTTACCTGAATAGTATTAATATGTATCTATGGTGAATTAAATCTGGAGGTGATATATTTAATTATTGCTAAGAAGTCACCCTTGGTGTTATTGCCTACATACCTACAGAGCTTTGCTGTTAACCTTTCATTACTTTTATGATCATTGGCTTTGGAGTGAGAGTTACATCACTCAATAATGACCTGATGTTTCATGGCTTAAGAGAGAATATTGCTAAATATATTTAGCAGTAGTAAATTATTGCTTTTAAAATTACTGCTCTGAGTTTTTCAAACATTAACAACCTAATTTTATTCTCAAAAACAATTTGATAAAAATCTACCAAAAATATAACCAGGGAAAGACCCCCACTTCCTACAGCAATTCTGATACAGCTCTGACTTACCAAGTGTGATTTTATTTTGCATCCTCTTAATTTTTATCTCCCCTCCTCCCCATCCTGGAGAGAAGTTTTTTTTCTTTCCTTTCTTCCCTTTGAACAAAATCTGACTTGATACTAATCTTTTTTCCTAACACAGAATGGCAGACTTGTAAGCCACTCAATGGAACAATCCTATTTTGGTAGAGTTTTGAATACAAAAGAATTAGTGAATTTAAAATATCCACTAACATAGTCTAAATAGTTTCTCTCTCTGGCACTTGCAAAAGCATTAGAGTAGGATTTAGCTCATTTCAGTTTAGATGACATATTTTGGTAAAAGGACAGATGACTTGGATTTTAGTTAATTTCCAACTCAGATAATGATGACCTCGCAGTGGAAAATGTCAATTGCTGTTTTGGCTGGAAAAATATTTGGTTGTTCTGAAATTCTGTGTGGAATTTCGTCACTCTCTACAAAAAACACTTCCTGATACTTACCACGGGAAATCTTCTGCTTTATTACCTGGAAAATTCAATTTGATTTTCAGTCACTATTGGGTTCTTCAGAACTTATCCAAAATGCCCAAGACCCCTGGCTGCAACCCTTCCAGCCCAGCTCACGAGCTGATTGACCTCTGATGACCCTTGGCTGTTAGAATACAGGAAAACTAGACCCATGCACTCTGTGGTTCTTTTCCATGTAACACAGACGCTAAAACTTCCTGGGGAGCCCAATGATTTGTCACGAGGAAATGAACAGCCAAAAGCACCCAGTGAATGCCTGTTCTCTGAGTAGCAGAAGTGCCTGCAAGGGAATGATGAAAAGGGAAAACAACCTCCAAGCTGCAAACACACACTGAGAGGGAGTGGGCTTCAAATATCCTTTCTCTAGCTAACCTAATAACGATCTAGACATAAAATAAAAACAAGTTGGTGCATGTCTTTCTGATCATAGTCTGCTCATCCCCCAATGCTGTCATACCCTCTAATTTACAAACATACATGTACTTCAAAATAGCGAGCCTATGACCTAAGATGATAACTCACTTAATATTGACAGAAAAAAACTTGCTTACTGAGACCTTTCTGGGCTTAGACATGCATAAAATCCCTTCATTCTTGTTCCCTGTAGCTTGCAAAGATACATGTGCTTCCTTCTAACCCAGTCTTATCTTGGCATATCTGCTCTAAAAATCAGAACAACAAGTCTTAACATTCACAAACTAGCATTTTTCTATGAAGCTCTGAGGCTTCTTCTTTCAGTAAAACTGGTTATTATTTCAAAATATATATACAACTCTCAGCAGAAATTTGGTGCTACATCTTCAAGTGTCTGAGGGAGCCACAGTTCTATGTGGTTATTTACACTTCCACAAGTCCTCATCCAGTATATGCAACCTCATCAATGAGCAAACAGATAGAATATGTATTCTAAGATCCCAAATGTAGTTAAGCAGTCCGCCTGGAATGGGCCATTTATAGTTGTGGAGTGCACACTAAGTGCCTGTGCAGATGTGCAGGCACACAGCTGCATGCACTGCCAGGATTCTGTTGGCACGTGTGTGTGTGTGTGTGTGTGCTGTTTGTGTGTGAGGAAAAATGCATGGAGACCCCTGCCTGCCTCACTGGGCAGGACAGAGAGTGAAGGCAGACACACACTCGTAGGGTGGAGAGTGGCTACTGCACACCTTGTCATGCCAGTGTGAAAAAGACAGTTGCAGGTTGCTGGTTTTGCAGCCATTCATTTTACATCTTGTGGGGAGGGGGGTAAAAAAAGGATTTTTTCAGTTCCTTTTTTCCTTTTCCCCCCCAGTAAGCATCACTGGAAGAAGACCAAAGCAGAGCAACTATAAGTTAAATACACACTTGAGCTTAGCTGCATTACATAACTCTGTAGGAGAAGCAGGCTGAAAAGAATTTTTTTGTTTGCTTGTTTGTTTCTTTGTTTCGCTTAAATCTTTGTGTTTTATTTCTCTTTCTTTTCATCTCTTAGCTCCCATAACTGTTTCCCTCCTAGGTTCCATCATCCTCTGAAGAACGCTGGGTTTCGCAGGCAGGCGGCTAGTCACCTGCAACAACCGAGGGGTCCCGCAGAAGCTTCCAGGCTGCTGTCCGTGTCAGACGCCAGGGTTTGATCCGTGGACATGGATGAGATGTCGTTGACAGATGAGGATGGAGGGAGGCTCTCACTGCTGTTCACTGCTGCACCTGTGCTACGAAAACGAACACCGACGTGATTAAACCCGAAACCCCCGAAGGCGTCACGCGTTAAAAAGCAAAAGGGGCTGACCTGGTGGTACACAGACCATTTTATGCAATAAATTATATATATTGGCAAACCTCCGCAGAAAATGGGCCATACAAACTTCAGACATTGGATAATATTAAATATCTTTGCAGGAAGTTTTGTCCCTCACTAGTCTGCCTTGAAAAGTCGTAGCTTGTACACTGTTTGTCACCCCACTTCATTCTAGCCTGCTTGGAGTTCCAAAACACCCAACAGTCAGAGGATCATACAGTGTGTGGTCAAAACAAAAACGGACCCCACCTATTCCTCCATATTCTTCTCATAAAATTCCAGTTTTCTTAGTGGCAGTCTAATAGAGTGGGTGGGATCAAATCACCCCGTGGAAATGCAGAGTGGTTTCTTTCTCTTAGCTAAGGATTAGGTGACTAAGCCCAGGATTTCAGCTGTGACTGTATTTTTGTACCTCCAAGCTTACCTTGCATCTCTAAAATGATAATGGTACCAGATGTTACACAAAAAATCACTTTGACTTTATGAAATGAAGAATGAACCTTCCTGAGATTATCATTAATGCAACTGAAAATTTATCACATGAATATTATCAGAAATTATCTGTCTGATAAATTCAGACAACTGAATGACAAATACAGAGCCATGTAAAGAATGCATTTATTGTGCACCTATGACTGCTCAACTGTTACTGCTCGTTAACCTCAGCTCAAACTAAAGTTCTCAGAGTAGCAAAAACCTGTTTGATTGGTATTTTTTTTTCTACTGAACTTTCAGGCGATGGTTTTTTTGTGCTCTATATACCAAAATTATCACTGTCTTCAGTTTGAGAGAGATACATTAATTTCATTAAATATTCATGACAATAAAATGAATAATTTTGTATGATCTTGCAAAGCTGGAAATTACAGCTAGGCAGGTGATACAGGTCTTTGTTCTGCAGATAGATGCCATTTCATTCTTCAGTCTGAAAAGTGTGCAGCCAACTTTCACAGACTTTCATTTCCATCAAAAGGCTGGAAACAAACATCTATCATCTAGTAAAACTACACAATTTATATATTCCTAATATAGAGATTAAAAGTTATCTCCACAGCCTAGGCAAAATACATGCTGCTATGGGCAAAAGGAAATTATTTTTGTTACTTTTCAGTTTGCAACAAAAGCCTTACTTTGAGAAGATAAGCCATCGTACTACACCTCCAACCACTATTTTATTCTATGTTCCTCAACTTTTTCTTCCCTTTATACACAACCACTGTAAATATGCACAAAACAGAGACAGATATGCTCCCATTTAGAACTCCAGATGGGAACTGCTTTTTGCTGTTCTAGTAGTACATTATGGCATCAGAACCAACTTTAAATTAATTTACTTTCCTGATACATTTGGAAAATAAAATAGTTGATTTTTTAAGTGGTACAAAAAGACAGAACAATCTCAATGAAGTCTGACTGGTGACTGTAGACAGCAATCTTTCATCCTCTCTGCCACAGAATGTGTTTTTCAAAGGGTTATTTACATGTACCTCATCATCCAGTACAATACTGTTACTTCATGTTTACATGTTGTTTAGTCTTGTGGCATTTTATGAAAATACTAATCAGTCAAGACAAGTTCATTTATGTGTAGTCAAAATATGAGTGAATTAATTTATATCAGTGACTAAACAATATATTACCTTTCTAAATGTTTACCATGCTGAGCAGAAGCCTGCCATTAAGCCACGGATACTATCCCAAGAATCAAAAGGAAAGAATTCCAGTAGGTTCAATCAACTGTTGCTGTGCAGCTTTCTTTGATGAATGTGCACTCAACTTAGCTAGGCAAAAGAACTGAAGAAATAGCTGCAGAAATTGTACAGGTGAAGACTTTGTTACACTCTGCCTGATTCAGCACCACTGAATTCAATAAACTCTGCTATGCTCTTCTCAGCAAGTATCAGTGAGTTTCTGGAAATTGCATTTTTATGGCTATTCCTAGCTTTCAGCACAATTCCACATGACACAACACACAGATGTGATAGCTGCTGCTGCAGTCCCAAAGCATCCAGACTCTCAGAGTATCCACAAAAACGAATGAAACCACGTGAAACCCCAATGACAATTAAAGAGCTCAGCGGCACAAAGCAGCACCTGGGCAATAACACTCAGAAGCCCAAAGAAAGCTGTCCCAGCCAGTAAGGAATGCTCCATTTGCTGTGCTCAGCACCTGCCTGGTGCTTCAGCAGCTTGCTCCAGGAGGGATGTGTGCCAGGTGAGACAGGGCAGATACGACAGAGCTGCACTCAAAAGAGAAAAAGAGCCCCGTTTATGAAGTTGTTTGGCAGGAAGCTTCTCACTGCAGGCTGCAGGATTGAGGAAAAGTGCTTAAGGTTAGAGCAGGTGAGAAACAGCTCCTGGGATCTGTTCGTGGCTCTGCTCTTGCCTTTACAGCTTCTCTTTTAAAGCGCACATCAGCTTGTGTGCTGTAAAGAAGGGATTCCTTCCTCAGAGGGCTGCTGGGAAGAGCTATTAAACAGCACCAATGGACACGCCTCTGAGACTTCAGCTGTGAAGTGGTACAGATTTGGGGGTAAAAAAACTGAAAGGAGAACTGCAGCTTTTGCAGTTGCCAAAAAAGCCCAGTGTCTTCCTAGGGGATCTGCTCGGCTTCTGATAAATTGTGTAAATAGCAACTCTTGGTATCGAGTGTCGCAGTGCTTGGCAAGTCCATCAGCTGCTTAATTTAGAGTCTGCACATGACAGAAGAGGGCTGGTAAAGGTGCCCAGTAGCTCCTGGATGATGGCAAATCAGACAGCAAGTAAAAGCCAGGAAAGGAAGAATAAAAGATCCATTTTCACCTACAAAGAGAAGGCTAAAAATAAGCTGCACTAAGATCTGTGTATTTACTATATTCCGTACCCAGAAAGGACAATACAGTTGAAACTGTTATGTATGAAACTACAGCTGGGTAGTGAAGGCTGGGGGAGAGGGAGAGAGGAGGTTAGATGGCATGGGCAGAACTTAAGTTTAAATAATCTACAGCTTTGTACTAAACTTTTTTTTTTTAATGCTGCTGTTTGATATTAACAGAAACACTTTTTTTTGGAGAGGCAGAAGTAGCCTCTGCTGGGAACAATTTTTGACACTGCTGATTTTGTTCATTGAACATAAGCATGAGGGGCAGGTACGTGAGTTTCCAAGCTGATATGTTGTACTAACCAATTGTTCACAGAACAAGAGATTGACACCCTGATACCTTAGGCACTCTAAGTGGCTCCATCAGTGGGCAATTATTATCCCTGGTGCTGTCAGCTTCAGCAGTCTCCCCTAAAACTGTGATCAAGTAATCATGGAAACTAATCTCCAGCTTGCTTGCTATGATTATTGATAGAGCTCTAAATCTCAGCTTTCTGAATTCTTGCCAAGAACATCAGCCAATGAGTAGAGTCACTCTCATTTTCCCTATGCTCAGAACTGGTGTTTTACCTCTTCGTTCCATTATTGCATTCAGCTGAGGATTTAAGTCAGGCACACAAAGTGAAGAAAAACAGGAAATCTACTATTTCATGAAATAGCCTCATCTGAGAGCAGTTTTAAAATATTTTCTGAACTTATTGGTGCCTAACATTCAAAGAACAGTCAAAGGAAAACAGCAAAGGAAATAGTAGGTAAAAAATGACAATCTTGTATGTTTGAAAATGTTTTACATAAACAATAAAAACCTTCCATATAGCAAAACCAGGATATGAAATAGATAAAGAAATCCCATGGTAGTTAATTCCTGAAACAAACAACAACAGTGTTTCTTGATCATAAATCAACCTGCAACCACAATTCTGCAAGGGAGAGAAAAATAAGAATGAGGATTTATCAGATAATTTTTAGGGCTCCAGATTTCTTTTCAGTGGTGGCACCATAGTTGGTAAATTAAATCTGCAAGTTCTGTTCTTTGTTTGCTACTTGGCAAGAACACAGTGGATTGTTTCCAATATATTACTTCATCCATGTCAAAATCCAGGTGCAGTGCTTGTGCTCCAACATCACCACCCAACACTTTATTAACTCCCTCCATTATTGCCATGTTTTCCCTTGTCCTGTCAGTTACTAGTGATGCCTTCTTGTTCTAACATTACCTTGGCTCAGCAGCTAGTGAAAAATGAGAGTGCAAGAAAAACCTCTCTGAAAATATGCAGAGAATTAAATGATTATACTTTGAGGAAAGGCAGTTTTACTTGTAAATACTGCTGGAACATTGTGCTCAAAATCTGGGCACTTCAAATTTGCCAGTGAAGCTGAACCTTCACAAATATGTATTTCTGTGTACTGACAGTAACAGTTTGCATTTCTGTGAAAAGACTGCTGATGTGAATTTTACTCAGAAAGCATTTAGTTGTGATTTTTTTGTGTGACGGGACTTTAAGAGTCAGTTGAAGACTCTTAAAGTTGAAGTTTAAGAAAGTTGAAGTTGAAGAAAGTTGAAGAAAGTTGAAGACAACTTTCCCTTTTCACTTAACTGTCATCAAACCTTTTCAGCCAGCTGTTCTAATGTGACTGGACTTCTGAGAGGACAGACTTCCAGATTAGTACCAGACAGCTAAATGGGGCAGGTGTGCAGTGTTGTGTGTCCAGCACATTAATGTGTGCTAAAATCACCAATTTTGCTTGTTTCAACTAGCAAAGTTTTGGTTCAGTTATCCACCCATAAGCAGTATGACAATACTAGTGTGAGAGAAACCTCCACACTCAGAGGAATTAATCTGTAACCACAGACAATACCAGCACAGCTATCCCTCAAATAGCAAGAAGATCTTTTTTAAAGTATTCTATAAACATGACACTGGAGTACAATTAATAAAGGTCAACCCATTAGAAGCACTGGATCTCACAGAAACTTCTTCATTAGCCTACATAACTGCAAGTGTAGCCTAAGCACTTCAGTAATGTCCATTCTCTCTTTGCCAGCACAGAACATACAGCAAAGTTATTCAATGGGGCTGAGTACCTGAAGGAGAAGGCTGTCCTTTTACTACTCCATTTTTAGTCTTTTCTTCGGAATTCATTACTTCTTTGTAGATGAGTTCTGGAAGAGAGAATTGTGACACTTACTGGCAGAGGCCAGTGCCTGTGGTCAGGAACACAACAGCTACCACACCCTGCTGTAGCCTGAGCTCCCAAAGCCTGCCCTGCCTTGTCTTCCCAAGTCTGACTGCTCTACCCACCTAGGACCTGTCTCTTCCATTCCCCTCCTCTCCTGTTTCCTTTTGGAGCAGAACTGAGATAAATAGGATTCAACTAGAGCAGGAGAATTGTTTAATGCTGCACTATCTAGAAGAGAAGCAGCACAATAATACAGCACCTTTTACTGTGGCTAAAATTCTGATGCATTGCCCTGCTGAGCAGTATTCTATATCAGATTTCAGTGAAGCACTGGAACCCACATTTCCTGTGTTAACATTAACCTATGTAGATAATGATTGCCCTCAGAACATTTTCATATTTTTTGCTACGTTTTTTGCCATTTTGCTACTAAAATATCCCTTCCCGTGTAATTCTGAACTGCAATTACCTTTCCATTCCTCGATTGTATGTTCCCTTTCATCCAGCTGTTTATCATATATCTGAGGAGGAGGCTGCAGGAAAGAAACACAGCTGTTTAGTCAATTGTCTGTTATACTGCAAATAATTAGGAGTAATTACTTAATTAAAGATAATTTTTCCTCTCCCTCTTTGCAATCCATCCTGTACATGCAAAAACATCTGAAACACATTTGAATATTGAGGGGATTAACACTTCTGGAAATCAACTCTTTTTGTAGAAGAAATCAACATACTTCTCTATTCAATGTCATTGTGCTTGTACTGAGCCCAGAAAATCCACACCCAAATTGTTTGTACCAGCAGAGTGTTACTGTCAAAATGCCAAACAAATACCAGTCTTGATTAATTTGTAGTAACATTAACATTAATTTTTAAGTTGCTCTTTACATTTGCTGCTATACAGACTTCCCAAAATAACCCTAATTTTTAACTGAGTCTCCCTGCCACAGTTTCTAATCCATATTCCAAATTACCAAAATTTCTAGTATACGTATTTTTAAGTTACTTTACTTTGGATGGAAAGTTTTTTTTGTTGCTATGGTGTGGGTTTTTTTTTGTTTTGTTTTGTTTGTTTATTTTTTTTAATACTGTGTTTCCTTTAGTTGATGGGAATGTCAGAGAACCAGCAGATCCTGGAATTTACTGAGACAAAGGCACCTAGAGTTTTAGGGAGTCTGAACACCTTTCATTGAGCAACTAAGCCATGTGTTCATTTCCTCTCCTGATGTTGGCTGCCAAATACAGCAGCCAAGGAAGGCAGAAAACTCTGCCCTCCTTCCTTCTACCAAGAAGCTCCAGCATTTGAGGTAAGAATACCCAATGAAGATGGAAACAAGATCCACAGCACTTCTCTTGCTCATACATATTTCCTCTGACTTCCATCTTGGGCACTTGCCATTGTTCCCCCTTCAAAGCATCCTCCTATTAAACGCATATTTACCAAGCTTTTCTTGAATTAATAAGAATTTAGTAATTTTCTCTCAGGACTCTAACTCCATCAGTTCATTAAGGCATTTGCATGCTACAAATACAACTGAAAAAGTAATGGCTCAGTGACATGATACAGACCAGGAAAATTACATGATAGCCGGACTGGACAAGTCCACTGAAAACAAGGGAACTTCCCCCAGAGTGATATTTGTATCAGGGCTGAGGATAAGCAATTAGGTGAAGTCATGGATTGCCAGGTCTCATAGCTGAGAAGATGCTGAGGAAACACATGTCATGAATTAAAGTGAGTGCCAGGACTCAGCACGGGTACCAGAGGTTTTACATCAGCAAGGTAAGACACAACCCTGTAAGAGTCTGAGTCCCAGAGCAGTGCAGCTGTTCTCTCATTCAGCATAGCAACCCTTCCCATTCCTTGCTGATGCCACCTGTGGGGATTGTGTGCTCCTGCTGACTGTGCTCTCAGAGAGCTGGATGCTACAAGAGTACAAGTGATGCTCACCGCTGACCTGTGGGGTGTGAAAAGTAAGCTCAGCTCCACTCCTCCAGCTCAGCCACTCAGCCATGGCCAAACCAAGAAAATTGAGGGGCTAGGAATTTACAGGAGCAGCAGGGGAGGTGTTTGGCTGAGCTGCAGCTGAATCACAGTGGCAGAACCACCTCTTCTCTGCCAGGTGCAAACAGAACAGACAAACCAAGTTGGACAAGAGTATCCTGAAAGCAGCTTTCTAAAAACTTCAGGGAGAAGCCTGCACAAAGCATAGGTGGGGGTAAAATTGCTTCTACCAAGTATTAACACTCTTTTTACACCTTCTGTAGAAAAACTTGTATTTCTCCCCCAGACAGAAATAAGAGGATAAATTCCTTCACTACTTTAATTCCCAAACACAAATTGCAGAATCAAAAGGAACAAGTGATCAGACGCACATACCTGTTCTCGATTCTCACAACCACAGATTCTTTGGCTTATTTCTCTTCTAATTTATTTCAGCTACATCTTAAGCTGGGGTAATTGGCTAATAAGCAACAAGAAAATTAGCAGCAATCATTGCCTAGATCAATACATCCTGGAAACAAAAGCATTTTCCAGGGAGAGAGCCCAGAATAATCTCACTCATTGCCGAGCTCCTATTTTTCTATGGAGTCAAACAAGGGAGAGCATCCAAACTGTCCTTCACACACTGCAGGATGGCAGAAGCTGCACCTGCACAGCATTCCACTGCTCTGCCAGTGCTTACATTGCAGACTTTTTACTTGTGAGTTAGCAGAACCAGCAGCTATGAAACATGGCTCTTGGCAGGCATGAGGGAGCCAAGGGTAACAAATACTCAGCAGAACAGTAGCGTGAATAAAGCCCTGCTCTTCACAGAGGCAGAGTCTGTAACCTCTAAAGCCTGTGCAGAGCAGAGTGGAGCTCTGCTGAGAGGCCAGCTCTTCACACTGGGAGAAGTGAAGCTTTCCCATCAAAATTCTCTGAGTCCTCACCTTTTCATTGATCCAAGGCACAGAGATGAGCTGAGAACACCAAAACTATTTCAGGAATTTATTTTCCCACAATTCTCATGAATTCTTATGAGAGCCACAAAGCTTAATACACTGTTATCAATAGATTGTAATCTCCTCCAGGCTGACCACCCCTTTTCTGCTAACTTGTTTGTTTTGTGTTTTTTTAAAAGAACAATTTCTAAAATAAGAGGGAGGATGGGAGGTTTTTAAAGGTAATATACAAGTATTGTCACAGCAATGGAACATTCAGAGCAGTTGCCATACCCATGTCCTTCTGGGCACTGATTTTAGTCTTGGTGCAAAGCTTTGCCTAAAACTGACTTTGCTTCCTAAACCAAACATCTTAGGAAATGACTGAGTTCATAACCATTAACTTCCCATGTGGATGCAGCTGCAGTATTATAAGCATTCTTATAAATGCTTCACATTTCACATGCCAACTGAGAGTTACACAGTTTACTTTGTTTAGGTGTTTAAAAAAAGACTGGATGTGGCACTCAGTGCCATGGTTTAGTTGATAAGATGGTGCTAGGTCACAGGCTGGACTTGATGATCTCCAAGGTCTTTTCCAACCTAGTTGATTCTGCGACTCTCTAAGTCTCAGAAAAAGTATAGAGTTCAAGTAGCACTAAATCAAGGCAGGGTGTGGATCAATCCTATGGGTGGCAGCATCTAGCTTCAGTTTAAGGCAGCCATTTTCTCCCCAAAACAGACTGATTTGCAAGCAGTTGCACTGGCAACAATAACAGAGTAGAATCTATTTTTGCATGAGGAAGCAAAGGAATGAATTACATTTTTCTTGTAGATACTAAGAAACCCCCCTGTTGTTTCAATTGGTCTTGGCTTTTCCATTTTACAAATTGATTTTCAAAATATTTTTCCATGAAATGGAACATTCGTTGGACAGACATAATTAAAATTACCAAAAAAAAACCCCAACAGAAAATATCCACATAGGTCTCTTTCTGGGGGGAAAAAAATAATAAAAGAAAAAAGCGCAACCCAAACAAACAAATAAGCAAGACTAATCACAAAACAAACCTAAAAGCAAAATATATAAAAGACATGGGGAGTTTATGTGGTCAGATAAACAGCAGGAGACTACTGTATTTGTTAAATACTATTCCAATATCTAGAGAGGGGAAGCTTTTCACTAGAGAAAAAAGCAAAACATATGTTGAAACTGATGTATTCCCACTTTCCCAAAGCAACACACGTTGGTTTGTATGCCACTGCTAGAAAGCAAAGGGAATGGGCTGAGGCTCACACTGGAGCAAATCCTGCCATGTCTGTCCCTGCCTCTGCAGAGCTAGTGCCAGCACAGTGGAGACCTTGGGATGAGCTGTTTTTAGAAAGCTTGGCAGAGCAAGGCCTGAGTCTGCATCTGTTCCCAGAATTGCAGGGTCTGGGGCAGTAGCTGTGGAGCAGCACAACAAGGCAGAGATGGAATTAGCAAGATAATGCAGATAAAAGAGAGACTGGAGGATGCAAAAATTAATGGTGCAAAATTAAACATTTTGTTAAATGGCTTAGATCCTCATAACAAGTGAATATAAAAATTCCTTGGTGTTTTGCTACAACCTAAATTGTGTTACTGATACCATTCACATATTTATTTTTGCAGTGCAAACCCAAGTACACCAGCGTGCTTGGCACCAGAGGTCTGGCATCTCTCTATCTACAAAGTGCTTGGGATTTCACCCTCTATTGCCAAGGGATTCCACAGTGGGCTAGGGATGATCTCAGCTAGGGATATGGAAGAAGAGATGACTCTGGGCCCATTTGTTCCTCGGAGTTTCTGCAGAGGCTTTTGGAAAACTCCACACGTAATGTGCATCAATGAAATTGTAGACTGAGCTGTTTCTGACCATAAGGATGCCATGCAGAAGGAGTCAAAATTACCCAGCTACACACAGATGACTGAACAGCTTGAAGATACAACAAGCAAGTTGGAAAAAGATAACGTTTGGTTCAAAAAGGAAAAAGAAGAAAAGAAGTTCCTCTTTCTTGTCTAACCACTCCTCCTCACTGATGTTAACAAAGATTTTTTGCAGAAGCCGTGTTCATCTTCCCTAATCCATCAGCTATGAATGGATGGATGTTGTTGACTAAAGGAAATGTCTGTGCTTGTGCACAAAGCAGAGCTGCACATTTCTTTTGTGAGAGAACAGATGCACTCCATCAATCTCTAAGGAGAAAACCAAGCCCTGTAACTGAGAGCTAAAAAATGTGGCAGCTCGTCGAAGACTTTCTATAGACAACATCTATAGAGAGCTGAGCAAGAGAAAAGAACAGCAGATAAGATGCACAACCTGACATCCTTGCTTTTGTCATGCAGTGAAGGTGACACCTTCTTTGAAGTGTGTTTGCCAAGGCCACAGAGCTCTCCAAAGTGCTTCTCCATCACATTGGATGCTTAGAATTTACAGGTAAAATGAGATGTGATTTTTAAATTTTTTAATTTTTTAAATTCTGATAAACCATGAGCCTTGAAATTAATTTAAAAATTGTATTTAACAGCTGGTCACAGATAGTTTGTACAGGGCTAAGGCTGTACAGGAGAAATTTCTGTCCTGGACCTCAGGCTGAGAACCATAAACCAAGTTGTTTTCATTAACAACACTGGAAACAGCAGCACATTAATAGAAGGTAACACACGGATTGGCATGCACAGCAAAATGAATGATAATTCCCAACTCAGCCCCCTGTGGATGGTCCTAGATGCAGAAATACTCCAGTGAAATATAAATCCTATGAAAATAAAACCAGGAATGAAAGCCATGTGAGTTACACTGAATAAAACCCCACAAAATCTATCACTGCTGTAAAATGCTGTCAACATAGAGAAATGCTTGAAAGGAATATTTTTTACTCCTGATCTTTCTGTTTCATAGAAATCTCTCTTCTAATGGATGCACATATCAGATAACAATAACTGCAGGTGCAGGAAAATTCAAGACACATTTTGAAAACAGTAAATAGAAAATATCACACAATAATCTACAACAAATTTTGCTACTAGATTTGTTCCCATGAAATTGAACAAGTTTTCCCAAGTAAGAATCAATATGAGATCACACATACATTCAGAAGGTTCCAAGATGGAATCCAGTATGACATGAATGGTTTCTTTGAATATATCAATAACAAAAGGAAGAATTTAACTCTGCTAAAACAATGTGTAGGAATCAAATTTTTTTCACAATTTCATCATTTTGGAATAAAACCCAGAGCTCTGCAAATAGGCATAAACATTAGGGTAGATATGAAAAATTAAATACCAAATTTGGGATTTACTCACAAATCATCTCAGTAAAGGGTGAGAATGTATAGCAGCTTCAGAAAAAAAAGGCAGCTGGGTAATTGAAAACAGTCTCAAGCACAGCATTTTCAGACAGGAAAATAGAGAAGCTAATATGTCATCAGGGAGATAGTGAGATTATCTACAATAAGCAGGGTAGTCTGCATGTAGAGGCAAGAGATACTGGAAACCTCTTCTTTCTTAAAAATAGAACAAGATAAATTCGAGGGAGAAAATGCATCATGTGCAGGGTAGTCTGCATGTAGAGGCAAGAGATACTGGAAACCTCTTCTTTCTTAAAAATAGAACAAGATAAATTCTAGGGAGAAAATGCATCATGTGTGTCATTTATTCATGTAATAATCCATAGGCTGTTATATAGATAAATATCCTAACATGAAAGTAATAAGCATAATATTTGCTTAAAAGTGGATCTGAGACAGTTTCTGCAAAAAATAAGGACTTCCAGGAGAGTCTTGAACTAAAGAATAAAACAGAGAAATAAGGTCTGTAAGTTCCTATTCTGATTTTACGATGGATTTCCTGTGTAATATTAGTAAATAATACTCTTGCCCTGTGAACTCTTGATTCCTTACATTTAAATTAGGTGTGAAGATTGATAACAGATTTCAATATTTGGGAATTCCATGCGACACAAGCCATATATTTTTTAAAAACACATATTCTAGTTGTCATTGGCTCAATACAGAAATTATCTTAACTGTAATGCTATTCAAAATAATTTCAGAACAATGGTGTATGCTCTGGAAAACCTAACACTGTGACTTCCTTATCAGACTTACTGTGGCAAACTGCATGTGCTTAAAAGAACCTGGCAAACTCTTTATGTTAGACATAAGAATTCCCTGTAAATCCAAAATCCATACAGCTCTAAAGCTGTGCCTCTTTCTAGCTGTGAGTATGATGCTGTTCCAGAGCTGTTGAGGGCTTTGGCTGTGGTTTGTTCCATGCAGAAGTTCTGTGGGAGAGCCACGGCAGTGTTTGAGTAACCTCCTGTGGCTAGTGAATAGCAGGTCCCACATCTAATACCAGCCTGTCTTCCTCTCTGTGCCAGGGAATCACACTCGGCATTTAGGGCCACACAGAAGAGTTTAATTTCAGAGGAAAGGGTATTGCATTCCTAGCACTTCCCATTTGTGCACAGTGTTTGCTCATTAGAACGAGACATCATAGTTTTATTGCCCCCACACAGTCTCTGAAAGACCATAAACTTATAATAGACTTATAAAAAGGGACTGTAACTGTCTCACTAGTCTGCTTTTTAACTGGGTAGGGCTGTTTTATCTGTTTCCCTCACATTTATAATGCTGTAAATCTGAGCAGACACAGAGGGTTGCTACCTCCAGGTTAAACTTTGACACCAAATTCTCTGCTTATTCCCTGAGCTGGCTTCAGTGCTCTGCATTGCCTACTCCAGCAAAGGCTGACATTTAATGACATTGCAGCAGCTCACTTCAAAACTCCTGTCACATTAAATGCTTTCAGTTACCTGTCCTCTCCTGCTACTGAGTGAAATGGGTGCTGGGCAACAGATGCCTGGCTGCTTCTGATGAAGCCATTTTCTGGGGAGAAGGAGGAATCTAACAAGACAGCAGAAGTTACCTAATTCCCCCCTCCCCAGTACTATACTGGCAGAAGATGTCATCTTGTTTAATACCTCTGTGTCCTCATTTCTGTTATCCCTACTGTACAGGACTACTGATGGTGGGAGGAATCCTATCTCATGTTACAATATGGGATGAGAACTTAAAAACCTCCAAAATATCCCACTACCAAACCTTTAGCTACGTGATGAAAGACTTCTGTGTAAAAGTGCTTATTAAGTATTACCAAAAAAAAAAGAGTGCAGTGAACATGAGCAGATGCAACACACTGCAGGCTTCTAAATCCCAGTGGGAAAAACAGGAAAAATAGTGGGAAGTTAAGCACTATACCAGTGACCAAGCACAACTCTGTCACTAATTTTCCCACTGCTTTCTTGTCAGGTTCCCTTGCTGCACATTTGCAGAGCAGTCTGTGAAAAAGCGGGGTTGCCTCATAGACCCTCATCATGCTGCAAATCCAAAATTAATGAGCCACATGGACATTTTTAGGTTTTGAAATGTCATTCAAATACTACTTCTTTGTTCAGTTGTACCCTATTATAACTTCTGTGCTTTTATTCAGTATAGTCAAATTCACAGAATCAGATTATTAAGTGAATGAGCAAAAGTATCTCTCAAACAGCTAATTCGTTGGATGTTTTTAGATGTCTTCTAAGTCCCACCTCTGCTATAAATTTGGGAAGATATAACAAAAATACATGAGATGAGTCATTTTCCCATTGCCCATGGCATGCTTAATGCATGGCATTAGGAAATATTTACTGAATTTGATCCTAATTCTTCTGCAACTACAACAGGGCAAATATCTCAGTGGAGTAGTTGCTGCAGAACACTCTTCTGAGCAAGAAGAGAAAACCACCAATACCCCACAAATATTTTTTTGGTAATTTTTCTCCAGAAAATAATTAGCAAATGACTTATAGCTAACCACTGAAAGTGTGTCCACATGAACAGATGGATATTTATAATTTAATAAACTGTTCATTGCGAAAAGAAAGTCTTCCAATTTAACCTTCCCTATGAAAATGAGACTGGCAAAATGAAGCTCTATAAAGCACTCTTAAATAACATCCTCTGAAAAAAATCCCATGTGCTGGAAATTTGATGGGGGTTTGAACATTCCATTTACTTTTGAAGTATACTGCACTTTCAGAACACAGACTGAACTGGAGCATATCACTAAACAGCAGTGATTTAATTTTACAAGGTCTTCATTTCCTATGATGGCTAAATAAAATTTCTAGACCTGTTTCCATACATTTCACACAGAGTATTACAGAGCACCTCTTTGAATTTATACCTATACCCTTTATACCATACCTCTGATACCATGTCACAGAAGTGCTGACAGATTGCACTTATCCCTGTTAAAACCAGCCTCACCAAGGCTTACAGAGAGGTGTCTAGAGCATGACAGGATTAGAAGAAAAAAACCATTTCTGTTTGCACACAGTGTACATGATACTGTACATTGAACCATAGCCCAGAAAAATACATGAGCCCCTGTTTCATTTTATGGAAGAATTTATGTCCTGCTAAGATTTTTCTGAATTCTGATTTCAGGATTTCTTTTTTTTTCTTTTCAGAATCCCAACTATTTTTTTGCTTAATTCTCCTGCTCTCTACATATATCCTTGAACACAAATATAAAAAGTGATGCTTGCTGTCTTCCACAGGCAAAGTTCTGTAAAGAAAGATCTCATCTTTTGCCAGATTGAGTTCTGTAGCTAAAAAGGTGAGCTAGTGGATTCAAAAGCCTTTCTAGAAGAAAGCAGAAAATGGTTTCATATGCTTAAAGTGTTTTTGTCCCTTCCATCTATTACCAGTTAATCTAATAAAGAGAGATATCCTGTTCCTACAGATCTCATTTCACATCAATCCCCAGACCACCACCATCCCAGCATTGTTTCTTTACAGCATGCTCATTATGGTGCTGCTGTAAAGCAGCAGGAATCCCCAAATCCCATTTGTGTTTGGCATTCTGAAGGAAGGAGCATTGCCTCACTCACCGCCTCCACCTCTGCTGGGTCGTACCAGACATTAATGTATGGATGCTGTAAGGCTTCATCTACTGATATCCTCTTGGCTGGATCAATGACCAGCATCTTTGATAAGAGGTCCCTGGCTTGGCTGGCTGGAACAAGGAAAGCAGAGAAACACAGCGTTAGCACAAAACAACCCCTGCCTGCAGAGGAGGGTTAGCAGGGGTAGGGAAGCAGCAGTGGCACAGCCCTTTCAGAGATTGGCCGTGTATGTACTCCTGCTCCCTCGCCTCCTCATTGCAAGAGCTCTTCAATAATCATCAGATTCATTAGAAAGGTGCCAGCATCAGGGCTGACACCACAAGTTCCCTAAATAGCTTTAGTGATCTGCACATTTTACAAGTGCAGATTCCATGCAGAGGGCTGAATAATATACCCAAGAAAAATGTGCTTGATGTATCTGATTAATATTAATCTGCTTAAATAATGTGATGATTATTACCAGGATCAGAGCACAAAAGTTCACATAAAGAAGTCTAAAATAATGACATTACTGAATCAAAGCCTTAAACCTACAGGCACATTTAGACTGGCTCAGAAAAACATCCACACTTCTCTGGATGTTTTAAAGTTTTTCACCTAACCTGCTGTGAGGCATTCAACATTTTAATGAGGCACAGAGACTAGGCTAATCTTAAGGCATCCCCTAAGAAGCAATAATTTCAAATCTGTAGCCTTGGCACCATAGTGATATGGAAGTGTTTTGGAATTGCTTGTTTGTCCTACATAATGAAGTTTAAATCAGTGGGGCACATAATCCTCCACTACATATATATACACACATATCTATGCACACACATTGAATTTTACATTGCAGCATTGATTTATTTTACCTCACAAAAATTCCATTGTACCTATCAGGCAAACAATGCCACAACAAAGCCACAAACTCAGCTTTGTATTACCCAAATGGATTTTTCTTAGCTGGAGTTTGTAAAAAATATAATACCATCTCAACCCACATGAAAAAATTATAACAACATATATTTCTAGTATTATTATTATTATTATTAACAACCATGTAGTGTTCTAAGCTCTCGGATGCTCAAAATTATTTGCTATGTAAGTGAAAAAGACAATGAAAGGAAAAAAATTGCAAAGAGCAATAAGTGCAAAAATATTATTAGGTATATCATCATACATGGGTATCTAATTAAACCATTAACATTACATTATGGTGAAATATTTAGGCAGGGCATGGGATGATACAATGCTGCACAAGTAGGGGTTTCTGAATGTACTGTTTCTTGGTTTGTGGCCGTATCTTAAAAAACTGGCATTCAGGATGCTCAAATGTATGTGCTTTCTGTATCCAAAAGATAACAGTACTGTTTGACAGTCATTTCTATTCATTAGCTGCAAATGCAGGAAAATTCCATTATTCAATTGTGTTGTGGTAGGAGTATAAAATCCAGTGTATCTGAAAGCATCTGCTCAGACCTTTCCCTTTACTCCCAGAGCCAGGACAGCAGCTGGGCTAGGATGCAGAAAATTCTGGGTCGTGTAATGATATGCAAATTGCAAGCAATTGAAAACCATTAGATGCCACTGTGGTGAGTGGCTCCAAGGAGTGGAATGGTGCAGAGGCAGTACACAGCACAGGTCTGCAGGGGCTCCAGAGCTATGGACTAAACACACAATAATCACTCTTTCCCACTGAAGGTCAATGCCCCATTCAAGTGGAAAAAGACCTGAATATATGATTAAAGTCATGGCGATTTTTCTTCTACTGGGGATATCTAGCCACACTATAATTAAGTTAGTTTTCTACTTCACATATCTTAAGTGACCCCCCCAGGATTTTTTCAAAAGAAGAAATCCACTCCAGTGGATATTAAACCTCGACTACTTCATTTTGGCTGGTGTTGATAATATATTTGTATATTCTTGTAAAGGTAGAGCTATAAGGCAGGTACTTGGCTGAACTGATATTTTTCATCTAAAAAAAACCCAATCCAAATGCTAAGATCTCCCAATGGAAGCTCCATTGTTCCTCTGTGCTACAAGTTCAAGAATAAGAGTAAGGGAACACCTCAAATCCTTGTGGCACAGGATCATCACATGGAGCACCACAGGAATATTCTCAATGCATCAGTGACTATGTTCCCTTGGCTGCCCAAGCATTGGGATTTCCAAAAGCCATTTCCAGAGCCTGCCTCTCAACTGAACAAAACCCATGCAGTCACTGGTCTGCAACTAACTGCATTAAATGGAGTGCAACTAGAGAGAAGAAAAATGGGAAAAGCCTTCATTCCCCCGCAGCTGTTGCTGCATGGCATGAACCACGTCCCTTTGTCAGACATACCTTTGAGTTTGTTGTGTTCTGAGTCTGCTGGGAAGAGAGAGTCTGGAAAAAGTTTGGGGAAAGTGAGGCCGGCGTACTTGGGTCTGTTCTCAACGTAGTTCCGTACTGTCGGCTGCAGCTTCTTCATGAATTCCGGACAGGGCGTTCCCAGCTGCTCAATAACTTTATTCCACTGATCAATATCTGAACACCAGTAGTTAAGGGAAACAAAATGCATACCCCCATGTAGCCTCCTGACATTTCTGCTTGTGTTCTCTGAGAATCTTCAGAGTATTTAATTCCCTTCATAACAAACATCTTTACAGTCACTATCTTTCCTTCTCTTCTCACTATTCCTCCAGGTCCTACAGCCTGCAAAGGGAAAAACTGTCTCACACAACTTCAGGACATTGTGCAGTTCTAAAACCATGACCACCACACAACAACACACAGATTCTTCTCTTTGGGTCAACACTTGTTACAATTTTTTTTTTAAACTTGAAATCCAGTGACTTGCACTCTCTTTTTTTTTACATGCAGGTAATTGTCACTACATCAGCTTGGAAGAACAACACGTGCCCCTGCCTCTCTATTCAGTCTGCGGAGAGGGAAACCCAGCTGGCTTAAAGAAGTTCTGCACAGGACAAAATCTTATTCCACTCATCTGCTTTGCACTTTACTCTCTCCAATAACTCAATTGATGCTAATTTTTCCAATACCAGCCAATCAGCACCCCTTCCAAAACAACTTGTTTGATTTTATAAGAATGCACTGGGACTCATTTTCTGTAGACAAATGATGCACAGGTGTAGACAGATGTTTCTTTTTAACTGAAAAACTGGCAGCTACATTGCTAAACTGATACTGACTAATGAGAAAGAGGCTCTAATGCTTAAAAAGAAAGTATATTTCAGGCATTTTACAGAGCTTTTTATTTGTTGAGGTGTTGATATTTTAGTTTTCTTGTGCTAACATTTGGGCACCTGATAGTTGTGATGTAGCACTTTCAGTCATGTTCAGAACAAGACTTACTGCTCCAACAAAAAAGCAAATTATCAGCAGCATCTCTACATCACAGTAATTCACAGAGCTAAGAATCTGATGACTACATGGGGGAAAAAAAAGGAGAATTACATGCAGCCATGGGTACGTTGATACTAAGAAATATGATGAAGGGAGTTTTGTTAAGAACACACTGGAAAGAAAAGGCTTTCAAAAGACAAACATTCAAAGCATTTCAGCACAGAGATTTCTTTCTTTAAAAGTATTATTTTAAGTTATTATTGTCATAAGTGTCAAAAGTGTGGAGGAGTTTCCCAAATATTAAGACAGATAACAGAAAAAAATAGTAAAGCAAAAACCAGTTATTGGTTGCAGTAGCAATTTCAGATATATAAAAAAAAAAAATTATTTTAGAGAAATTGAAACATACCTTGGAAAGTAAAGAGAGACTAAATTTGGATTTACCTGAACTATATTATTTGAACAAAAAAAGCAAATAATTCATTTAAATTTGCTGGTTTACTAATCAAAAGTGTTTAAAGGAATGAAAATCATTTAAACATATGCTTTAAGAATTCCAAAACAGTGTTTTGAACGGTTTTATTTTTAGCTGAAAAAGGTTGCTAGAAATAGCAGCAGTCTGGAAAGATTTTTCTGAATACCTCTTATTTTTTAAACTAAACTGAAGATTTATGTAGAAAAGCCCCTCCCACATACCCTCAGTAGGTTGCATGTAGCTTATCTTGTGTTGTCCATGAAAAATATATTTTTTTCAACAGAAAATGGAACAATTGCAACAAGAGTAAAGTTTTCTAAGACTACAGCTGCTCAAAGAGTAGCCTGAATATTTCATTAAATATTTCATTAGAAAATAAAGTGGTTTGACATTTTAAACTTGTGGTCAAGACACCTCAGTGACTGCTGGCTGGAGTGCTCCAGAAGCAGGTGTCTCTGAGGAACTGGAGAACACAGAGTGTGTGAATGCTTTGCAGGGAAGAACAGGGAGTACAGAAATGAAGATGCTGTTAGTTGTGCCAAGAGAAGCTAAATGGGTGAGAGAGCCAAGCTTTAAAATCATGACTGGAGGCATTACCTGTGCATGTTGAGGGAAGTTTTGGATAAACAGGGAGGGCCAAACACAGGACTTGCTTCAAAGAAGGTCACCCCTGCACAGAGCAGGTGAACCATCTCCCAGGCATTTAGTGAAGGCCAAAGAAAAAATGATCTTTGGGATTACAGAATTATGTGGGACTTGGACACACTGACAGGGAAGATGTAGTAAGATTTCCTAGACACGAGCAATAAGGGAAAAGGGGTACAAGAAGTTCCCAGAGTAGGGCCAACATGATGGGAACCACTGTCAGTGGGGATGGAGAAGGGAGAAGGAAAATCCACAGACAACAGGTCAGCTCCCACTGCACACTTTTCTTCTAAGCTGACAGGAAGGCTCTCACTAAGAAACAGCACACAAGCAGACTGCCACCCACGACTGGGACATTTTGAGAGGCAAAATTTTGAGATGCATCAGTGCAAAAACGAGAGCCAAAGGCAGCAGAACTGGCAGAGCCACCACGTTCTGCTCCTTGACTGGACTTGGTTTGCAGGATAACACTGGACCTTTTGCAGCCCTGCTCTTACCAAAAGCCAAAAGGTCAGGCTTTATTCACAACAACCTCAGGGACTGGTTTTGAGCAATGAATGGTCTGAATGGGTAATTGTGCTTCTTTACTGATTTTTTTCTGTCTTATGGTCTTTGTATACTGCCAAAACCCTTAAATAAAATACATTCATTTGCTCTTTGCATTTAACACACATACACACACACGAACTGACACGGTGGAGCACCCAGGACTGGTTTTGTCCTGATAATAGCAATAACAAAACTCTGCTAAGTGAAAGCAGTTGGATAATGTTTTAGTCAAATGGACACACACATTTTCTCTCTAGTAATGTTTCTCCCCTTACCTATACCTTAAAACCACTGGATTATATACTGAGACCCAATACATGAAAATGTGCAAGAATGTAATAAAGTTCTTGCAGAATGTTGGTCCAGCTCCATTTCACTGTAATGTTTTCTGCAGTCACCACGTGTGATACATCTGTGAGGCACCTGCTGATGAGAAGTTGTACCTATCATGTTGCAAGATTTAAAAAAAAAGACTTGGCAAAAATCTGAGGTCAGATTTTCAATCAAAGCAAAGAAACAGCTTTCCCTAGCTGCCAGTCAGCATTAGCTTCAGCAATTCTGCAGGAAACAAATATTACTACAGGACAGTTCTAATGTGAATCAAAATCTACAGGAGATTACATTAATCAATTAGAGAGTGTAATATTGATGTTATTGAAAAAATGTTATTAAAAGTTAGTGACCACATAACTCTGACAGAAAAAATCCCTTAGAGAAGAAAAAAAGAGCACCTGTTTTTCCTCTTAAAATTAAGCAAATGTTAGACAGACTGGCAGTTGGAAAGAATTCCAACCCAAAGCTCTGGAAAATGATGAAAAACGTCTGCTTAAAAGCTATTTGAATCAGTTCAGCTGTGCATTGCCCCAAGCAGGATCAAGGAAAACGTGTCAACTACTCACAATAGCATCTGTATGATTTAAGACTGAAGAAGGGATCTAACCTGGATTTATTAGCTTGCCTCTGGCACTGACAATATGGCATTTAGTAACATTAGGATGGCCATACAGAGTTACAGCAAAGATTTAAGAAAATAGATCTAAAATGTGTATCTTCTGAATGAAGATTTATCACTGAGGCCTCAGGTTGCCTCAAGCTCACCCACCACCTTTTCTCTTTGCAGCTTTATACTCTCCTTTGGATTGTCTCCTTTGATTTAAAATACTTGGTTATTTATTTGGAAAATAACACGAAGCTGAACTGCAGATTAAGTAACATAACTTTCTAAAGCAAAGGCATAAAAATTCTGATGGGAAAATAATATTGTGAATTAACTAAAAATATTTCTTTTGAAAAAATCAGATTCCACAGTAATGTCATCTATTTAGAAGCACAGGCTGAAAGTGTACCTGTGTTTATTTTTTTCCTATGGGCATTGATGCAGTATAGTTCCAAAGCGTGGATTAAGAACCAGTGTTTCGTTCATTCAGTTGGCCTGTAAACTTCAGATAAATTCCTGCAAATTCCCAAACAGCTATAAGGAAATTGAGTTTGGCTATAAGACAAAATTTACAATAGTACTCTGCCTCAATCAGAAATTATTAAAACCATTTGTACAGTGTACAAAGTAGCAGCTTGTAATTAAAAAAAACAATTTAGACAACAAATTATTGTCTTCCTATCTAGCCTCAAAATCACAATAATTTTTCTTTTTCCTTCTCATGATGTATCTATGTAAATCTCACTCTTTTTTGAGTGAAGAATTGCATTTTGCTGAGTTCAACAATAAGGTTTTGCAGGAGTTGTTAGTGTTTGCCTTAGGATGTTTCAGTTGTACTGCAATACAAATAACTTAATCTCTCATGTTTGTCCACCTGAAAGAGAAGCCTTTTTCTAAAATCCTCCTCAAGCAGTATCTATGGACTGTGATGTGGGAAACACGAGAAATTCTGCCAGAACAGCTGTTGATAAGAGAGCTGCTGGAATTGGGCAGGACAGGGGTGCTGCTGGTGGGAATCATGCTTCCCTGCCCAGCACACTGGGCTGCACTTTCTGCACCTGCCAAACAGCACCTCTGCACCAGCTTTGCTCCACAGGAGCAGGATTTGCTCTTTCTGGATAAATGTGCTGCTTCTGGAGATAATTGAAATAAGGACATGTCAAATCTTGCTTTTCTTAAGCTAGGCACGATGAAAACAAAACAGACATGGGATGTTTTGTTTGTAACAGACAGACAGGGAAAATCATCTCTTTTCAATTCCAAACTATTGAGGGAACTACCTTGCTAATTGTTTTCTCCTTAAATCTGCATATTCCACCAACAAAAACGAACTGCTACACTTTAGGCAATTTTTTAATGCTCATAACTTGTCAAATAATAGCTCTGCAGTTCCCTCCCTAACAGCAAACTGTGGCAATCAACTTTTTTTTAAAATTATTTTTTAATTGAACCTTTCTTTTAAAAATAAATCTGCTAAAAACACACTAACCAGCTTCACTGTGGGAGACATCAGTGTCACATTCATATTTTTCCACAGTCCCACAATTTACATATTGATGCCAACAGAGTTCACAA